AGGAATCTGGGCGAATCGGTCGGCGGAAGATGTCCTCGAGGGTTCCATGGTCGTCAGTAAGGTGGTATCGTGAGTGAAGCCTAAAAAGAAAGGTGTCGCAAACGGCACCGCCATCGCTTTTGCTCTTACCAATGCCTACCATCTTCGTCGACGTGCAGTAATTGTATGTCACTGTGTACAGGTTGGTGCAATTGGCAAAAGTAAGGTCAGCCTCGAGATTGGACATGAAATGGTCGAGGCCTGGGTTGAGGAATGCCCATGTCTCCTTCAAGTCCGCCGTCTTGGGAGGAATCTGGGCGAATCGGTCGGCTGAAGATGTCATCGAGGGCTCCATGGTCGTCAGCAAGGTGGTATCGTGACATCAGGAAAAATTCACGAAGCTATGTATAAGTGTTGCCTATATATAGCTGTCGTAGCCCCGTAGTCAAGTATCCCTTAACGTAACACCCGTAACACTCCTGCAAGTGCTACGTAGCGCAATGTAGCATCCCCATAATTTGCATGTGAGGGCTACATAGCAGTACAATACATATATACAACACTGGTACTGTGTTTATATGTACAACTCAGTATTCATTTGTACCATAATGATCATCGAGAGATACAGCTCTGAAATGCATTCCAAATGTATATATTATGGTCATCTAACAAATATTTGTTCTACTCCCCTACCACTGCATCACATCCATTTTCATTATCAGACTCAACTTCAATGTCAGTCTCACCAGTTTGACCTTGTAGATCAGCAATAAGTCACTCCTTCTCTGCATCATCAATGAACTCATCACCCATCTGCTTGGGCTGCACATCTGCATGTGTTCTGATAAGTAATGTGGTCAGCATAGAGCAACTTTGCAAAGAGGCATAGAAAGTTCACCTTCCTTTCATAGCCCAGAGTTGACAAATGTTTCCTGTAACCTTTACATCTCCTAAATACCATACTTTGATGTCTTTTAGGTGAGCAAGATACTGAGGAGTTTGAATGGCATCATTGAGCTTCTGTGCTTTAAAAGTGCCATCTGCCCATTCCTCAATGCAATGCTCTAACTAGCAGAAGAAAGTCAGTAATAAAATATCACTGAACATAGGCAGAACTTACTATAGTCACAACAAGCACAACTATTTCTGGTTTATGCAATCAAAATCCTCCTCCCAAATAATCCCAGGTGCCTTGTGGTGACCAAAAAAGTGTTTGGTAATCACCAATGGGATAATCTTGTTTTTGAATCTGCATCAGAGGACCTTCAGCTCCTGCAGAGCAATTCAGTAAGCTGGACAAGGTATAAGCTCACACATACCTTGCATGTGAATGTCCCACATGTCACTAATATCACATACTTCTTATTTTGCTCAATCATTGCTTTCTTGCCAGAAACAACAAAGCCATAAGTAGCTATGACTAGAGACTTCATGTCCATCTTTATTGCTCTTTGGACATGTGCTGATTGTCACTTAATCTAGCATTGATAAGGTCAGAGGTTTGCTCAGCTTCAAGCTGAGAAGAATAGCATACTATAGTCTTCATAACCTTAGTGAGCTCATAAACCTCTCCAAATTCTTCAAAAGCTTCATTCCACAACTTCCACAACCATATACATCCAACCTCAGTGTCTGGGTACCCATTGACAGTGTAAATGCATTGCTTCCATTCTTTACAGATTTAGTAAAGAATTTGATATGCTTTTTCATCATAGTCACATTGATTGATGCTTTTTGTACCATTGGCAACCTTGGCAGTGCAAGGCTTCTTCATGTCAGAAGAGAGGTCAGAGTCAGATCAAGAAACCAGTGAAGGGCTGTGAGGTCACTTATTTCCTACTACATGAGGTGAGTTGTCAGACATTAGTAGGTTTGCCTCCAGTGGTGGTTCAATAGCAGCCACCTCATGAACTGAGTCTGATGTAGCATCATTATTAGTATCAGAAAGAGAATCTGAATCACCAGAAAGAGGAGATGATTGCAGATAGCTAATATAATAGATAGAACTTGATCTGAAGTCAATGTGAGGAATATCTGGATCTGATGTATCAAGAGCAGGCAATGACTCAGAGGCCATAATTAGAGTGAGTCCTTTTTGGTGAAGTTGTCTGGGTGGCATTAAAATAATCCCCTTCAACTGAATCTTTGATAAAAACTGAGTATAGTTTTCTTTATAGAAGATTGTATAGTGATAACACTCATAGAAGATGAGAACTCCAATGTGCCACCTATATTATTGTCATCTTTGCTTTCCACATCAGATAGCCAGCAGCTGTTGTGACCACAGATATACTCTTTCACATAATTTTCTCAGAGGCACTCTAGAGAAATGTCAATAGGATAAAAGAGGCTAAATATCACACACTATTAGTTTTATTATTAAGAGCTTGCTTTTGCTGAAGCTCAAGATTTTTCTTTTGGGGATTTTCAATAACTGTCTGAAGCTTCTTGTTCTCAGTATTTGTAGCATTTTGATTTGGACAAATACACAGTGAGATACACACAATCAGAGTAGAGTAGTGAAAACACACACTAAGATCAGCCTGTTTCTTTTTAGGCTTGCTTAGTCACTTGTCTCATACATGTGAGCTGGAGATACTGGTTTTAATGGCTTGACAAGGTATTGTAAATTATTGATAGTAGTGGAAAGATGGTGGTAAAAAAAAGATGATAAAATTTGAAAAAAACAAAAAAATTTTTAAACATATGTTTGAGATAATGTGATTTGAGCTGCTTACCTGTATACTTTACTGTTATTGTAATTACTTTTCTTGCTACTGTCCAGCTACCATAGTGCACTCCATCTTCAAATGCCAGATCTGATTTAGAATGCCACTACTCTCAAACCAGTTGTGGCTCTGAGTTTGATAAAAGACTAAGAAGAGCTGTCAAAGCCTCTAAACAGAAATGCAATGTCTCCTCAGACCCACCAGCAACTAAAACTTCAAGCCTACCATCTTTTAGCTCATCTTCAGATTTTGAACCTTTGTCTGGATATATCATTAGAGAGCTTCATGCTTTTCCAGATTTAGACAGAAATATTTCACTATCAAAGAAGACTCATGTCAAAGACATTGAAGATAAAGATGATATTGTGGGATCACCAGAATGTTATATTAAAGACTTTTCTTGGCTTGCTGGTGATTTGATTCTTGAGCATGAAAAATTACCTTTATTTTTTGAATGTTTTTAATATCAGAAGATTCAGAATAATAAGGCAATTTGAGCACCTTTCAGTTTCAGAGATGAGTGAGAGCTTACCAGATGGCTAATGCATGCTAGTATTAGTCAAAAGAAGATTGACATATTTCTAAAGTTGAAAAGTGTATGTATCTTTGATTTTTTTCACTTGAGCAGAACTTGAATGCTTTTTAGATTAAAAATAATGTCAATTCAAACTTCAGCAATAAAAGAAAGCTATTTCAAATTATTGATAAGCTTTCCACTGATCCTGAATAGGCATGTGAAGCCTTTAGGATTTATAAAGACTTACTTGATGATGAGAATAAACTACAAATAGAGGGTATTAAGCTTTGAAAGCATGATCTAGTTGCTTGTATTCAAAAACTTATCAGTGATGCTCAGTTCAAGGAACATATGCACTATGCACTGAATGAATCTACACAGACAATACAGATACAGTGAGATGGAAACAGCAGACTAGTAGTGGAAAATCCAGATATATCTTTCTATCTTCATATTAAAAGAGATATTAATAATAGAATAAAAACTCTTATTGAAAGATGTAATAATTGCTCTAGTGATTATTGCCTCTCATAAAATGCAGCTTTCATGGTTTAGTAGTGATAAGTCAGTGTAGCCTGTGTATTTAACAATTGGAAATATTAATAAGAACATTAAGTGAAAACCTTCTGAGCATGCAATTATATTGATAGGATATTTATCTATCAGTAAACTAGAGTGCTTCTCAAAAAAACAGTGGTCAGTTGAGTTTTACCAGCTGTTTCATATTTGTATGCACTTACTTTTTGAGCTATTGATCCAGGCTAGAAAGAATGGAGTAAAGATGCTGTGCACTGATGGTTAGATCAGATTCATCTACTCAATTTTAGCTGCATATATTATAGATTACTCAGAGCAGTGCTTGGTTGGATGCTCAATAGAGAATTGATGCTCAAAATGCAAGGCAAAAGCTGATGAACTTGAAGATTCTATGTGCTTACTTATGCATAATACAAAGAAAATAGTTAAGATTCTGAAGCAGACATCAGCTGAGTTAGAATCACAAGAATTTATAAATTGGGATCTATAGCTAGTCAATTCAAAATGGATTGACTTACCCTATTGTAACATATTCCAATGCTTCACTTCTGATATCCCACCAACTATACAAAGGGGTCTTCAAAGATCATATTATCAAATAAGCAACAGCTGCAGTGAACATTGATGGATCTGAGTATCAGACAGATGGACTGCAAAAAGCTGAAGTGGATTGTCACTTTTGAGTCATGACATGACATCTAAGTCTTTGACATTTCAAGAAAGAGATATCATTAATTTCACAGTAGACAGATAATAAATATAAGAATATAGAGAAAGTATTTCTAGCTATTATAGCTGGATATGCAGATGAGGAGATGGCAAAATGCATTAGAGCAGTTGTTAACTTCATATACTATACATACTATAAAGAGTATACAACTGAGTTATTGAAAAAACTGGAAGATTTGTGGTATACCTTTTATAAATATAAAATCTTTATTGACCAGAGAATATGTGATTACTTCAATATTCTAAAAATTCATTTCATACACCACTATACTTCAATGATATACTCACATGGCTCTACAGGTGGTGTCATGATTTTAGCCCCTAAATCATGCCTAGCTGCTTTGGCTTGTGACTTGATCAGAAACTGATCATGCTCAGCTGTTTTGGCTAGGTTTGAGGCACTGAGATATAAGCTTGGTGTCTGATCACCAAGACTTTTTTATACAGTATATAAGTCAGTAGCATACAGAGATATGTCTCAGTTTCAAGCTAAGGTCAGTATACCAATCAAACTCCTAAACTCTTAGTGTGACTATCACTTCAGTATTAACACTGACAGTCATAGCCTATCAACCTCTATATATCTCTCTCCTATTCATCATTCTAAACATTCTTATCCTCATCCTTCTGCTTTAGCTTTAGTTAGTGTTGGACTTCAGCTATTGCAGTGCATTGTATTTGTGATTGTTTGATTGTCACCTGATATTTAGCTTAAAACTCTTCATGCTCTGATCTGAAGATCTTTGACTCAGAACAACTTTTAAGAACATATCAAAAAGACAACTCCATCACTCTCACAGGCACATGCCTGACAATTTTTATAATTGATTTTATTTCTTACAATGTTATATGGATTCTATAAAGAAGAGAGTGATGAAGGATGGAACTGAAAGAGTGGAGAATCCAGCAGCAAATAGCTGCAACCTACAATGTCATCTGATCAGCTCTCTACACACTCTCAAATTGAGAGAAGGTCTATCTCAGACAATACAATCCAACCTCTAGCATTATTCCTTAAAGGAATGGCCAGAAATTCCAGCCTCTCAATTATCAAGAAGGACATCATCAAAGAACCCATTCACTAGTTCTATGCATACAGCATGAAGAGGACAGAGCTCCATTTCTTTGAAATAACAGATGACAATCCTTAAAGAGGATACTGGTATATCACAGAGTGCTGACAAGAAGTGGCAAGAGGATCTGAGAGCACACTACTGATGGTTGAGATATACTCAGATGGCTGATGCACAGTGGGTAGCCTTGGAGGAAGAAGGAAGATATATCTGTATGGCTCTATTCAGTCAGCAGTTTGTTGATGAGATGTGGGTATATACATGTACACAAGAGGCTATCAAAGTCAAGAAAGAAGAACTGCACTCTGAAGTGGCAGTCCTTATATATTACTACTCTGAATGCCATCTCAGCCACCATCTACTATAGAGAGCTGACATAGCTGAAATAGCCAAAACCTTTTCTATGAGTATTCTGCATCATTACTACCATTCTCAAGTGGCTTGTTTGCTAGTGCTAGACTAAAAGATGCTTCAGCAGAATCTGTTACTTTCACAGTATCAGCTCTATCAATAGCATTATTGCCATAGGAACCACATTATAATAGATGACTATGATCATTGCTTCAACCCCAGAACTCAGTTTTGCCACCATCTCTAAGTGAACCATGATCTGACACTCCACCTCCTTGGCAGTCTGAGAGTATGGATTCATGAGGCAATTTTAAACCCACAATTGTGAAGAAACTATTGGCATTTGAAGGCAAGAGCTTAGACTTCAACCAGTTTTTCAACCAGTGTAAAGCATATTTTAAGGTCCATAGCATATATTTTGCTATAAGTGCTAGTGAATTCATCCCACATTAAGTTATCTTCTGCTTGTCAAGGTTTGAAAACAAGATATGTGAGTGGTGGAACCACCAGGAATCTCATCTCCATGATTGACTCACTGGACATTAGTGGTATTCATCCTATTCTGATTTCAAGCATGCAGTGATTAGCTAATTTAAAGAGGATGCAGAAATGAAACTACAACAAATCAAGTGGAGAGTACTGAGACAAGCCAACTATAAGGATGCTAAAGTGTTCTTCCAGGAGTTTGAGAAACTGGCATACCAGATAGGGAAATTGAAAGATAGGTCAGCTATAGTAGAGCAGATGAAGAATGCAATCTGCATCAACATCAAGAACATGATTACATCAGAGAGTAATAATATTTTAACCACCTATGATGAATAGAAGTGCCAAGTCCTGCAGATAGACTATAACTATCATGTCAATGTTGTGGAAGGGAATAGCCATACTGCAAAAGTAGGAGGTACTAAGATAAGTGTGACTGGATCATTCCAGAAGAGATCTGCACCAACAGAGAGTGATAAAAAGACCCCAATTGGTGTAACATATGGAGGAATAGGGCAGCCAATAGATATAAATACCCTTCATAAAGAGAGAAGATGTTTCAATTGTAGAGAGAAGGGACATATGCTTTATACTTGCTCAAAACCCCATTATCCACATACTTCATCTATCACTTAAGACACTTCAAAAGCAAATGACACAGTAGTGTCTCAAAAGGATTTGGGAGATAAAGTTTTCTGATAAAAAATAGTTGGAACTTAGTAAGATATACCAAGAAGAACAAGCTGCCAAAAGAATGCAGGATGAATTGAACAAAGCAAAGATGGTTAAACCTCAGGAGAGTTTTGGAAAGTAGTCTCTCAATGCATATACAGGCAGACTACTAATATTATCTTAAATATGTGAGAAGACAGTGCTAATACAGTGTCTTTCCACTCAGACACTGTACTTACTGATACTAAACAAGTTTTTGTAGATTTCAACAATACTTACTTTATCACTCACTATTAAAGAAACCAGTATGCAACTAGAGACCTCATCTGACAAGGAGATAGTCAAGAACTCAAGTGCCCATGAGAAGGGCCAAACAGAGTGAGCAACACTCCATAAAGAACTACAAACTAATGAGTGATCACCAAAGGATTGGACACCAAAGATCCTGTCTCCAATTCAGTGCACTCTATCAGTCACAGTAGAGAGAGGATCAGATAAAGAGGATAGCATATCATACCAACTGATCCAGAAACAAAAGATGTCTGAACAGTGCAGAGCCTCCAAGAGGAAGCTCTAGTCTAAACAGACTGTCAAGTATCTGAAGAAAGAGCATTCTATTATAAGTGGCATCAAGCTAATTGAATGGCAGAAGCCTGGCACAGCTGCCTGGGTATTACATGCATTAGAGGAGTCAGAAGACCTCATTGCACTAGCAGTGTTAAAAGGATGGATTCATTCAAAGAGGCTGATCAACAACCTTAGAGAGATCAACACAGAAGAAGTACTATGGGCAATAGAAGAGTTATATTGACTCAAGAAATACATCCAAGAAGGAAAAGAGAGTGATGAGACTATCATCCACATACAACTGAAGACATTAGACACCCACCAAGTGGTTAGCATTATGGCACTTTTAGAGAGTGGCTGTATGGGCAGCTTTATTGATAAAAACTTTGTTAGAAAGAGTGGATTTAATACAAGAAAGATTGTCAGGCTCATTTCAGTCTACAATGCTGATAAAATGCTTAATGCAGGAGGCTTTATATCAGAGTACTATGAACTCTGAATAGCTACAGGTGATGGGCATGTTGAATGAATTGACTTTGCTGTCACTCATCTTCATAACCAAGAAGTATTTCTAGAGTATGATTGGCTCAAAAAACATAATCCATGAGTGAATTGAAAAAGTAGAGAAGTCATTTTTGATAAATCCACTTGCACCAGACAGCAGTGGATATATTCTGATCAGGATCAACCAGAAAAGATGATCTGAGGAGAACTGGATGAGAGAGACCACCTGCTGATGGTAGACTTTCAGCCTGCTATAGAGATGCAGGCAATAGGAACTATATCCAATGAATTGGCAGCCAATGCTTAAGCAGAAAAGCTAAGGAAATTCTTCAAAGAAATGGTCTCTGAATATTATAGAGACTATTATGATATCTTTAGTAAGAAAAACTTTGATGAATTACCACCACAAAAGCCTTGGGATTATGCAATTGAGCTAGTCTCTGATGCCAACATTAATCTGGACTGCAAAGTGTACTCACTTGAATGGGCAGAACAAAAAAAATTAGACAAGTTTCTTGATGAGAACTTGACCAGTGGGAGAATCTGAGTATTCAAGTCCTCCATGGTTTCACCCTTCTTTTTTGTCAAAAAGAAGGATAGAAAACTGAGACCTGTACAGAATTATCAGAAATTGAATGATCTGACAATCAAAAATTGATACTCACTCTCACTCATTTCAGAATTCATCAATAAACTATTAGGTGCCTGGTATTTCACCAAGCTGGATGTACAATAGAGATATAATAATATTCAGATCAAAGAAGGAGATGAGTGGAAGGCTGCATTTCAAACTAACTGAAGGCTGTTTGAGCCACTGGTAATGTTTTTTGAGCTCACAAATTCACCTGCCATGTTTCAGACTATGATGAATGATATATTATGAGATCTAATCATCCAAGAAAAGATCACCATCTACTTAAATAATATAATGATCTTCTCAAAAATTCTTTAGGAACATCACAAAATTATGCAGCAAGTACTGCAGATACTACAAGAGAACAAGTTGTATCTCAAATCAGAAAAATGCAAATTTGAAACCCTTGAAACAGGGTATCTCAGCCTCATCATCTCAGAAGAAAGGCTACAAATGAACCCAGTGAAAACAATAGAAGTATGAGAATGACTGACATCTAAAAAATGAGAATTGCAATCGTTTTTAGAATTTGCAAACTTCTATTGATGCTTTATTGAAGGCTATAGCAAGATCATCTTACCACTGATCAAAATCACTGGAAAAGCTGAGTGGAAGTGGAGTGATATGCAGAAACAGGCATTTTAAGAGATCAAACACTAGATCTGCTCAAATCCAATTCTGGCTATACCAGTTGATAATAGAAGATTCAAGATGGAAGCTGATGCATTAGAAGTGGCTCTTGAAGCCATTCTCGGTCAGGAGCAGAGTGGACAATGGTGATTTATAGCTTATTTGTCTAAAGCATTATTTATAACTGAATGCAATTATGAAATCTATGACAAAGAGTTACTGACTATCATGACCACTTTAGATGAATAGCACTATTACCTCATGGATGCCAAGTATGATTTTAAAATCTGGACAGACTATCAGAACCTCCAGTATTTCAAAAAACCACAGAAGCTAAACCACAGACAAGTATGCTAGGTGACAGAGCTGGTTGAATATCATTTTACACTTCACCACAAACCTGGTACTGCTAATAAGAAGGCAGACCTACTCAGTCAATGAGCTGACTATG